TGGAGCTGCCCGATGGCCTGGCTTCAGCCGGCTGCCGCCGTTGAGCACATGCCCGCCTTGCTCGCAGGCTAGAAATCCTGCCTTGAAGGCGAGGGGGGAAGCGTGTGCGCGGCCAGAGCGGGAGCATGTGCTGCGGGGTGCGCTGTGACAGTGTAACCTTGCTTCCAGGCTGGGTAACGCCGTCCTGACCCGTCTTGAATGAAATGGAACGCTCGCAATCTCGGGTTTTAATTCTTTATTTTTTTCTCAGCGAAAAATTTGAGTCTTGATACTGTAACAGTTTTATCTAAGTAGCAGTTTCACTCTCCCAGGCATGTCTAAACACATACTGGAAGTTGGGCAGCCTTTAAAAATGAAGAACCGTGATAATTCATGACTGCTCAGTCTGTCTTTTATTGACAGTTCAGATGGTATGCGCAGGAAATGTGGAGTCACAAACACATGGTCTGCAGAGTAAGGCACTAATACCACAGCCTAAATTGTTTGCGTGGACCCCTCCATCATTACTAACCATCGTCGATTTTGCTTTTTTCTTTGAGTGAGTTTCTGTGCTCACCAGTTCCAGAAATGGAGTTTTAGTTGTAGACATAACACCAGTAGGTGTACTGTATTTTAAGTACATTGCCTAAAGAGAGAGACCACTTTTGAGAGAATTATTAGCTGTAGAGGTTAGCAATGCAAAGAGACTGTTTCTTCCTTAAGCACATGGGTGTTTTATCCTTACTTTCATCTCTTTGGTTTTCAATATGAAGCGTGGTGGATTAATTTTCTTTAATCTCTCCTGGGTACAGGGGGAAAATACTCTTCTTGCTTGGAAAAAAAAAAAAAAGGCTTTAGTCATATGGAAAGCAACAGCATTTTTCAACTTCTAACAACATGTGGCTTATTTAGTTGAGGTGTCTACAAAGAAGTGAAGAGGTAGAATTTATAGCAATTTTTTTTTTCCTGGATATGCAAAGAGTAAATGACTGTCGTTACACATAAGAGACCAAATTACAGAAGAAGCTTCTGGAAACTTTAATTCCAAGACTTTCTGTGGTCCTGTGCTCAAGCAATTCCTTCTTTAACAAGTTTTAGTTTAGTCCTTAAACAAAAGAATAAAATATTTTAATAATACAAGGTATTATGCCTGAATAAAAATATTACTAGAAATCTACTAAAAAGCTAAACAATGTTGGTGGTGCCCAGTCTTCATATATATGCATCAGCAGAATATTACTAATTAAAATTAATTTTAAAAAAAGAAAACCAAAAAAAGAACCACAGTGGCATAATAATAATAATAATAATAATAATATCAGTAGCCAAAAGACAAAAATTATGCAAATGAGTTTTACGTAGTCCCTCTAATTTTTACTTGTGCTATACATGTCTAGGTAGGACTGGGTATGTACATATGTAAGTACATGATTAAGCTTGTTGAAATAATGTGGTTTCCTAGTCTTATATGGTATGTAAGTTTACACATATCTGTTTGTTATATGTTCGTGTCAGGCATACACACTCCAGAAAACTGAAGGCAACTAAACATGCACATTTAAAAGGGAATGCCTTCTACAGCTGTCAGCTTTTGTTCAATGGAACAGCTATTAAAAAAAATGGGTTTAGAAAATGTCGTTATGTCTTTGT